GAATTGTGGTGGATGAGATGTTGTGAAGCAAAATGGCAAGGTTCAAATCAAGAAGATCTATAGTTCTATTAGACAACAATGTCCCAAAGTGAGTTGGAAGAGGCTTGTGTGCAACAATAAAGCTTCTCCTAAGAGTGTTTTCATTTTGTGGTTGGCTATCTTGAATCGGATGCTAACCAAAGATAGGTTGATTTATTGGAGGATCAATTGTGATCCTGTGTGCTTGCTTTGTTTAAGTGAGCCCGAGAGTGTTCAACACCTTTTCTTCGGGTGTCCTTATTCTAGCAATATTTGGCAGAAGGTGCTTGATTTGCTTCATATTAGTAAAGTGTATTCAAAGATCTCAAATGGAGGTTGATTAGGCCTTGAGATATTGTAGGAAAGCGGGTGAGAGGAAGAACTTATTCTTAATGTTTTTTGCTGAAACGGTCTATATCATTTGGATTCAACGTAACTCAACCATGTTTAATGGTTCTTGTGTCGATGCTAATTCCAAGTTTCGAAATATTGCGTTTAGAGTTGCTTGTAGATGCTTAGAAGGAGCTCGGAAATATCTCATGACCTGCTGCTAGTTTGAGCTGCTGCTGTGGCTTTTGTTGGGTTATGTGATGCTAGTTGTTCCTATTGCTTTGTTCCCTACTGCTGTTGTTCAGTTCTAGTGCGCTGGGTTGATTATTAGTTGGTTCAGTCTACTGGTTTCTAGTTGTTGTTGCTGTTTTCAGCTTGTTGTTACTATGGCTGCTGCCTTCTGGCTTGTTGTTTCTGTTCTGTTCTTGGCTGCTGCTGATGCATTTTTGCTGTTTTCTTGCTTCTGGTTTCAGATGTGCAGTTATGTGTAGTTGTAGCTTGGTGTGCAGGCTGGTTTTTCTCTGTTTCAGGCTGCTGTTTGGTGCTAGTTCAGGCTGCTGTTTGGTGCTAGTTCAGGTTGTGATGTTGCATGTCTTGTTGTGTGTTGCTGACTGGTGCCTGGTGCTGCTGGTGCTGTTCCTGGTGGCAGCTGCCTAGTTTCCTGCTAGCTGCTGGTTCCTGTTTGCTGCCTGCTATGTGTTGTGTTGCTGTCTAGTGCTACTGCTGACCTGCTGGGTTCGGGTTGTTGTTGCTGTCTTTTGTTTTTGTCTGGTGTTGCAGCAGCCTGTTGAGTTCTGGTTCTGGCTGCTACTGCTGTTTCTGGATGCTGCTGCTGTTTCTGCATGTTGTTGCTGCTGCTGTTGGCAACTGTTGTTTCTGCATGCTGTTGCAGTTGCTATTTTTGTATGCTGCTGCTATTTCTGCATGCTGTTGTGTGGCTGTTTCTTGTTTTTGTTTGGGTTTAATGGAAGCTTCTAAGCATAGGTGTTTTGACCTCTATTTGTTCTTTTCTTTCTTATGGCCTTTTGTTTGAGAGGTTTTGTGTTTGTCGTTGTCCTATTCCTTTGGTTTTGAGTAATCCTCCTAGAGGGTAGCTCTTTTCCTCTAAGTTCAGAAGAGTCGGGTTTGGTCCAAGGTTCATTGGAACCCTTCCTAGAAGATGGCCTTTGGGTCTTGGTCCTTGGCTGGTGGTTGTGTGCCCGTAGGGGCTCTTGGTGTTTTGGAGTTTTGGCCTTTGGGCTTTTGTATTCTTGTTTGCTGTTTTGCAGCTCCTTTTGGTAATAATATTCTCTATTTACAAAAAAAAAAGAAGGGGGTTGGAGGAGAGCCGGAACCTGAGCCTTTCCAAGAGTGGGTCAAGAAGGAGCATGCAGCCGGCGAGGAGGGTGATGATGATGATAACGCAGAGGAGGAAAAGGAGGCTGAGGTTGAAGCCCAAGTGAACTCTGCCCCAACTCCGCCTGCTAAGGATACTCCCCCGGCTCCGCTTCAGTAGTTTCAGCCTATGGTTGCTGCCTGTACTTCCTGTTAGAAATTTAGAGTGTGGATGGGGAGAGCCCTCTCCTTGGCAAGAAGAAGCCGCGACTGGGAAGCCACAGAAAGTTGCGCCCTCGGATGGTGTGCTGCGCCCGCAGATGGTGTGTCGCGCCCGCGACATGGGCGCGGCTAGGCATCTTCAGAATTTTTGGAAAAAACTGCGATTTCCCTGTCCGCGCCCGCAGGCTGGGATGCTGCGCCCGCGGGGTCATGAGGAGCGATCGCTCCTCAAATAGCAACGCCCGCTCCACCTTGAGGAGCGCCCGCTCCTCCATGTTTTGCAGTTTTTTCTGACGGTTGAGTCTTTTATTAAAAGACAAGTTTTCGTGAAGGAAATGATACAGAAGTTTTATTCTTCATCTCTCCAAAATGAATTCTCCACATTTTCTCTCAAATTTCTTGCAAACTTTTGTGAGAAAAACTTTAATAATTTAGCCAAATTTGTGAATTTATCATCTATATTTCGATTCTTTGTGCTAATAACGAAGTGCTGTCTTTTGTATCTCAAAGAGGATTTCCGGATTGAACCCAAGCACCATTGTGGGGGAAATTAACCTCTTTAGGAAAGTGTATACACGCCTAAGACAGAGAATCAAGGTTTGAGACTCAAGTGGTCATCGGTATTCTCATGTTCATGTTCATCTTTAAAGGCATGGAGTTGAGGCAAGTTTAGTCTTTTTCACACTAGTGTTCTCATTGTAATTTCTGAATACATTGATATTTTGGTGCTTGGTTTGTAATACATTAATTAGTATTTGGTTATTGTATAATTTGATTGGAATTATACATTATTTAGGTTTTGTTCCCACAATTTTTAAGTGTTTTCTTTATTGAAATCACTGAAAAACCTAACAATCTAAAGAGGTTAAGCCTTTAGAATTTAATTAAGCATGTCTAGTGTGAAAGAATTGACCACAAACTTTGTTAAACTGAAAAAGTTTGACGGTGTGGAATTTCGAAGATGGAAGAAGAAGATGTATTTTCTTCTTACATCTCTGAATGTTGCCTATGTGATAAGTACTCCAAGGCCGGATGAACATGAGAATGAAACCTTGGAATCCGTTCGGGAGGGGTCGAAATGGGACAACGATGATTTCATATGTCGTGGTCATATTTTGAATGGGATGGAGGATGATCTGTTTGATGTCTACCAAAATATTGAATCTGCTAAGGAGCTTTGGGAGTCCTTGGAAAGCAAGTGTATGGCGGAAGACACTTCAAGTAAGAAATTTTCAGTTAGCAATTTCAATAACTTTAAATTTGTTGATGGTCAGTCTATAATGGATCAATTTCATGAATTGCAACGTATCTATGGTAGTTTGGAACATGGAATAGCTATGAATGAATTGTTTGTTGTTTCTAGCATTATTGATAAATTACCCCCTAGTTGGAAGAATGTTAAGCATGACTTGAAACATAAGAAAGAGGACATGACATTGTCCGGTTTGGCCACCCATATTCAAATTGAAGAAGGGATTCGTTCCATGGAAGGAGCTAAGGATGGAAATCCTAGCACATCTACCGTTAACATGGTAGATGAGGGAAGAGCTAGTGCATCTAGTGGTAAAAGGAAGAATAATAATTCTTCCAAAGGAAAGTCCAAAAAGCAACCAAACAATAACAAATTTGCTTGTTGGGAATGCGGTATGGTTGGACGCCGCAAGAAGGACTGTTATTCTTTTAAGAAAAGAATGGAGAAATCCAAGGAGGGCCATGCTACCGAAAGCAAGGACCCACCCACCAAAGGTAATCCAATCCATGAGGTTGAATTTAATTCCGGTTTGGATTTAAATGCAATGGATCCTAACATTCTTATGGTGCAGGATGATGACTCATGGTGGATTGATTCGGGGGCTTCAAGGCACGTGTGCAAGAGTATACATTGGTTCAAAACCTTTCAAAAGGTTGTTGATGGAGAAGACCTCTACATGGGGAACAACTCTACCATTAAGGTTCTTGGAAGAGGACAAGTTGAGCTTGTGTTTAGTTCTTGGACTGCAATTATTCTTCTGAATGTTTTGTATGCTCCGAAGATTAGTAGGAATCTGGTATCTAGGCCTACCCTGAATAGTCTTTGCTATAAACTTGAATTTGAAGCTAATAGATGCATAATTACTAGGGGTGTAACGTTTATAGATCGTTGTTATTTGGATAATGGTTTGTTTAAACTCTCTTTGAAAGATAGTGGTGTATTAGACAATATGTGTTTGAACGTTGTAGACAATGTTAATCAAGTTGATTTGAATTTGTTTGATTTATGACATTCAAGGTTAGGACATGTGAATTACAATAAAATGTTTTTCATGTCAAAACAAGAATTAATACCTTCTTGTGATATTTCTCCTAATAAATGTTCTACTTGCATGTTGAACAAGATCACTAGAACTCCTTTTAAGAGAGTTGAGAGAAGTTCTAATATTTTAGAACTGATCCATAGTGACTTGTGTGATTTTCATAGTACTCCTTTGGGGAAAAAAAGATACATGATTACGTTTACAGATGATTATTCTAGGTTTTGTTATGTGTATCTTTTGCATTCCAAAGATGAAGCATTAATAAAGTTTGATGTTTATAAAAGAGAAGTAGAATTGCAAGTAGAGTCATTAATTAAGAGAATTAGAACTAATAAGGGAGGGGAATATTATGATCCATCTTATTTCCAATCTTTAGGTATAATTCATGAGACTACAGCAGGTTATGCACCACAATCAAATGGTGTAGCTGAAAGGAAAAACAGAATTCTTGAAGAAATGGTTAATTCCAAGTTATCTTACTCTGGTTTGAGTGAAGGGTTCTGGGGTGAAGCAATGTTGACAGCTTGTCACATTCTTAAACGGGTTCCTACTAAGGGAAAACAATCTACTCCTTATGAACTTTGGTACAAAAGAAAGCCAAACTTGAAGTATCTCAAGGTTTGGGGTTGTAGGGCAATCATAAGAGTGCCTGGCAACAAGAAAAGGAAGCTCGGTGAAAGGGGCTTGGATTGCATATTTATAGGTTACGCTGAGCATAGCAAAACCTATAAGTTCTATGTAATAGAACAAAATGACTATATATCGATTCATTCGGTTATTGAGTCAAGAGATGCAATTTTGGATGAAAATAGATTTTCATCAATGAGTAGACCGAAAGATCTACAAATCAGTGCCAATGATAGGGAGATAGTAGAGTTGAATGATCAACTTGAAACTCATGAAAGTACATTCGATAATGAGAATGTTGAAACTCCTCAAGTGAGGAGAAGTACCAGGGAAAGAAGACCTAGAAACCCTCTTGATGACTTTATAATTTATTTAGTTAAAGGTTCTAGGGATGTCCTTAGTAATACTATTCCATATTGTTTTAATGTGGATAGTGACCCAAAGACTTATAGCGACACAATATCTAGTCAAGATAGTGCATTTTGGAAGGAAGCTATAAATGATGAGATGGATTCCATCATGGGAAATAATACTTGGGTCATAGAGGATTTACCTCCCGGTTGCAAACCTCTTGGTTGCAAGTGGATTTTCACTAGGAAAAGGAGACCGGATGGCTCCATAGTGAAATTTAAAGCCAGATTGGTTATCCAAGGCTTTAGGCAAAAGCATGGTGTTGATTATTTCGATACCTATGCACTGGTTGCAAGAATTACCTTCATAAGGTTATTGATTGCAATGGCTTTGGTATATAATCTAGTGATTCATCAAATGGATGTCAAAACGGCATTCCTTTATGGAGATCTAGAGGAAGAAGTGTATATGAAACAACCCGAAGGGTTTGTTTTGGAAAGACAGGAAGATAAGGTGTGTAAATTGGTTAAGTCATTGTATGGACTTAAACAAGCACCAAAACAGTGGCATCGGAAATTTGATGACATGATTTTTTCCTTTGGGAGATGCTTTCTGCGACGAATTCGCCCGGACGTGTGTCGCCGGATGCCAACTCATATTGAAGCAGATGCTGGTTTTCAATATTATCTGGCCATTGGCCTCATTAATGTCATCCGGCCAATGGCCTTATTAGGTTGTTCCAAAAGGAACAACACATAGCTGCTAAGTTTTTGGACTTAGCTTATTTCTATTCATGTTGGAGAAGACATAAAATTTTAACAAATCCGTTTGTACATTGCACAGATGGTATTCGTACAGAAAGCAATAAATATGATTGAAAATAAAGCAACTTTTCATTGATAAACTTTATTTACAAAAATTTTGTGAGTCTCAGAATTAGTACTTTTTCAGGTTTTCTACGTTCCAAATTCTGGCTAGCTGCTTGTCGTCTGGGGTTTCCAGGCGGTAGGTGCCGCCTTTTACTTCTTCATAGATCCAGTAGGGGTCTTCCCAGTTAGGAGTCAATTTTCCTTGTTCATTTGCCCTACCGGTTGCCTCCATTTTCCGTAACACAAAGTCCCCCACTTTTAAGGGTCGTTTGTGCACTCGTTTGTTGTATGCTCTGGTCATTCTCAGACGGTATATCTCATGATGCAAGGCGGCATTGCCCCTGCGCTCCAGGAGTGAGTCCAATGCTAGCCGCATAGCCTCCAAATTTGCCTCTTCGTCATAAAGCATGACTTAAAGAGTAGGCTCATAGTGCTCAATAGGCAAGACGGCTTCTGCGCCGTATGTCATGAGAAACAGGGTTTCACCGGTTTCTCCTTTTTCAGTTGTTCTGATGACCCATAGGACATGAGGCAACTCATCTGCCCATAGACCGCCAGCCCTTTCAATTTTCTTCTTAATGCCATCTGAGATGAGCTTGTTGAAGGCTTCAAACTGCCCGTTTGCTTGGGGACGACCGACTGATGCAAAGCAATGAGAGATCCCTTGATCTCCCAACCAGTTTTTGAGGGTAGGAGTCTCAAACTAAGGGCCATTGTCAAAGACCATAGACATTGGTACCCTAAACTGGGTGATAATATTCCTCCAAATGAAGGAGATGACATCCTTTGTCTTTATACCTTTGACCGCCTCTACTTTTACCCATTTGGTGAAGTAGTCCACTGCAATTAGAACATATCGCCGTCCGCCTACAGCAGGCGTATACGGGCCCAAAATGTCCATGCCCCATTTGGCGAATGGCACTAGGCTGTTAATACCCTTCAGGTCAGTAGCCGGACGGTGTATGAGATTGCCAAATCTTTGACACTTTTTACACTTCTTCACCATTTCCATGGCGTCTGCCTCAAGAGTGGGCCAAAAGTAGCCTTGCCGCCTAGCCCTTTTTGCTAGAGTCTTGCCGCCTATATGTGATGCACAAAAACCCGAGTGCATTTCCTCTAGAACCTCTTTCCTCCTTTCTGGGGTGACACATTTCAATAGCGGTTGTAGATAGCCCTTCTTGAAAAGTTCTCCCTTGTGAATCTCAAAGCTTGCGGCATGTTTTTTCATTGCAGCCGCTTCTGAGTATGCATCTGGCAGAGTGTCGTCTGCTAGATAATCCTGGATGCCATCCATCCAGGTTGAGCTTCGGTCCATAATTCCAATGAGATCCTGTTCAATACTTCTTTTTTCCATAACTTCCCAAAAGACTAACCTAGGCGTATCACAGGAGGCGGATGATGCCAGCTTAGAAAGAGCATCCGCCTAATTGTTTTCTGACTTGGGCACTTGACTTAGATGAAATTCATCAAGGGTCCCGAACTCATTTTTGACCGCCTGTAGATATTTGATCATAGCCGGGTGGGTGGCCTCATAGTCACCATGGTATTAGCTTACAATCAGTTGTGAATCAGAGCAAACGTCAAAATTTTTTTGCCCCTGCCGCCTTGCACATGCGGATACCGGCTAGTAGGGCTTAATATTTCGCCTCATTATGTTAGGCTTGAACTTAAACCGTAGTGCATGTTCATACTTGTCCCCTTCAGGATACTGGCATAAAATCCCTGTACCATAGTCGTTCATAGTAGAACTCCCGTCTACATACACTTTCCAAACCTGGTCAAGATTCTCCGACTTAACTGGCCTTGTCATTTCGACAATGAAGTCGACAAACGCCTGAACCTTCACTGCCTTCCTTGGTTCGAAAGAAATTTCAAGACTTTGCATTTCAATAGCCCGTTTGAGCATCCTGCTGGATGACTCCTGAGTTGTCATTGGCTGCTTGAGGGGTTGATTTGTGTAGATCACAACCAGATGTGCCAAGAAGTAAGGTTTTAACTTCTTGACTGCCATGAAAAGAGCAAGGCCAAAATTTTCAACCATGGGGTACCGTAGTTCGGCATTTCGAAGAACATGGCTAATGAAATAGACCGGGAGTTGAATGTCGTCTCTCTGAGCAAGGAGAACAGCACCGAGGGCGTGATCTGAGACGACTAAGTACATGTAAAGCACCTCTTGTGGCAGAAGGCTAGCAAGCCTTGGCAATGAATGCAAGTGTTTTTTCAACTTTTGAAATGCCGCCTCAGCATCCTCCCCCCCCATTCAAATCTAGTCTTCTTTTTATTGTTTGGAAGAAATAGAGGCACTTGTCACCTGACCGATTGAGGAATCTCCCCAATGTCGCCAGGCAACCGGTTAATTTTTTAAACTTCCTTGAGAATGCGGGGTGACTTCATGTCAATGACCGCCTGTATCATTTCTGGGTTGGCCTCTATCCCCCTTTGATCAATTAGAAATCTGAGAAACTTCCTAGACTCAACACCAAAGACACACTTCTTAGGATTACGCATGACCTTATGCCGCCTGAGGGTGGTGAAGGTTTCTCGAAGGTCAGCAAGGTAATCCGTCTGTAGCTTGGATTTGACTATCATGTCATCAATGTACCCCTCTACATTCCTCCCAATTTGATTAATGAAGACCGGATTAATCATTCGTTGGAAAGTAGCAGGCGCATTTTTCAACCCAAACGACATCACAATATAACAAAATAACCCCTGATCAATGACGAATTCCGTCTTCTCTTGATCTTTTTTCCACAAGGGTATCTGATGAAAGCCTAAGTAGGTGTCCATAAAGCTCGTCAAAGCATGACCGGTTGTAGAGTCGACCAAATTGTCGATCTTTGGAAGGGGATAACTATCCTTCGGACATGCCTTGTTCAAGTCTGTGTAGTCAACACACATTCGCCAGGTGTCATTCGGCTTTTTCACAAGAACGACATTTGTAACCCAATCCGGGAAGTAACATTGTCGAATGAACCCAACATCAAACTTCTTTACTTCGGCAGTTGCTGCCTGACTTCTTTCCTCACCGTGGTTCCTGTTCTTTTGCCTAACCGGCTTCTTTTTGGGATGCACAACAAGTTTATGAACAACTAGATCCGGGCTGACGCCTTGCATCTCTTCTACTTCAAAGGAAAAAATGTCTTTCAATTCTTTCAGAAGGTTGTGCAATTCTGCACCCAACTTTGCAAAAGCAACCGTCCCAACCTTAACAGTTCGATATGGACGTGCGTCATCCAGAACAATATCAATATTTTCTCCAGCCGATTGGAGACATAATTCATCTGACCGTTCCCCGGCCAGTGATTGCTATTGCTTCTCTTTTTTGACGGCCACCAACTGGTCGGCCTTTCTCTTTTTGCCAGCTGCTATGGGAGCAAGCACGACTTCCTTGAGTTCATCAAGGCCTATGGGCTCTTTGCCTTGGCCAGATGTGACCACAGTAGGCTTAACGTCTAAGAGATAACACTCTCGTGTCGTCTTCTGATCCCCATTCAGTGAGCCTACATACCTGTCATCCCTCTCAAATTTTAGGAGCATAAGGGATGGAATAATAACAGCCTTTGATTCATTGAGGGTTGGACGGCCCAATATCAAATTATAGGCGGTCAACTCTTCAACAACCAAGAACTTGACGACCATGTGGCGTCCTTCCCTCTTCTCCCCTAGCCGGATGGGTAGGTCAATCCTCCCCACCGGATGCACTACTCCACTCCCAAAACCAACTAAGGGGAGAGAAACTTTGTGCATACTGCTAGAGTTGTACTTGAGCTTTGCCAAGCACTTGTAGCTGATAAGGTCAGACGAGCTGCAAGTGTCGATAAGGATCCGGCCTACCCTTTGGTTAGCCACCTTGCATTCAATGACTATGGGGTCATCATGCGGCCGCCTGACTTTGCCCCTGTCCTTCTCAGTAATAATGACCTCAGGAAAGGTGTCTTTTGACGCCTGGCCCTCATCAACTGAGTTAACATCCAGCCGCCTGATATAGTCCTTGGTGCTCCGGATGGTTGGACCCCCTCCAGCAAAGCCGCCTGCTATTGTATAGATCGGCTCTTCATTAGTGTCCGAACAAATAGCAAGTTGGGCTGCCTTTTTGAACGGTTACCCATTGTTAATTTTTAGGGTTACCTTGGACTTCAGGATGTAGGACATAAGCACACCTTTATCAGCCAGACGGTCCAACAACCTTTTGAGGCTATAACAGTCGTTGGTGTCATGGCCTATTTCCTCATGGAAATGACAGTATGTTTTCTTGTTCCGTTTTTTTTACGGAACCTTTCATTGCATCCGGTTTCTCATTGTCACCCGGTCTTTAATCTCCATGAGGATGGAGTAGCAGTCCTTGTTAAACTCGTACTTGGGAACATACAATTTAAACTCTTTTTCTTTCTTTTTTTTTGTGACAGCTGATCAGAGTCATCTGCCACCCAGACTTCTTTTCTCTTCTTGCTCTCTTCTTTTTTGGCCGACTGTCTTTTTTGTCAGACTTCTTAGGGTCCGACTGCTTGCTAACAGCATAGAGTTTAGTCGCTTGTATATAGGCTTCCGCCTCCATCAGAGATTCTTGGAGGGAGCAACCCTCTTTCAAACGAGATCAAACTTAAAGGTCAACTCGTCTTTCATACCTTTGAAGAAGTCTATGTAAGCCACTTCGTCAGATAGCCCTTGAATCTGAATTCTCCTCAGATTAAACCGCTTGACATAGGACCTTAGCCCTTCTCTATCTCCCACTGTATGGCACCCAAGTCAAGACTTGTTTTCTTAGCAGGGATGTTCATAGAGAAGTTAGAAGCAAACAAGTATGCAAGCGTCTAGAAGCTATTGATGCAGCCGGCTGGCAGGTTGCCAAACCATCATTGGGTAATGCCCTTCAATGTAGCCAAGAAGCATCGGCACCAGGTGGCATCATCCAACCACTGTAAATACATGAGGTTGGTGTAGGCCATCAGGTGATCTTCAGGGTTAGTGGTACCATCATAAGTACCCACCAACATGTTCTTGACCTTGGTCGGTTGTGCCGCCTCGGTTATCTCCTTGGAGAACGCAAAAGGTTGTTCCCCAAGTTTGAGCAGACGAAGCTGCCAGTCCAAAGGTTGGACATTCTGCGCCACCTAACCCCCAAAGAGAGCCGACTGCATATATGGTTGACCATACGACATGTATGGCTGCTGAGGCACAAACAGAGCCGAATGGATTATTTGAAGGCCAGTGTGAACGGACAAGCCGCCTGACTGACTCTCTCAGTTTGATTGTGAATATCTCACTGCGGTATTCTGAAAGCTGTCTGGGAAAGTCGACGTTGAAGCCGACTCAGACAGTTGTTGACTTTTCTTCTGCTGGATTAACATCCGGGCATCAAAATAAGTCTTCTTTGATCCATCCGGCTGAACATGCCGGATGACCTTCCTCTTTTCAGGTGGGAATATCTCCCTATTTATAAGGTCTTGGAATGCATGCCGCCATCCTAGGTTACGGAAACCTAGGAATGGTGGGCTATCCTGGGAATTGGGCTTTGAGGGCTGCCTTTTTCCCAATGATTGGGGGTGCCACGTGTCAGCAGAGGAGAGGTTCATTTTGAACCTCTCTTAAGGTGACACGTGTCACCATTTTATTAGGCTATGGGGCCAGGGGTATTTTTACCCAAAATAGAGATACTGTGATCATCCAGTCACCGATGAAAAGATGATTGAAAAAACACTCACTACCTTTCATGCAAGCAATATACTGTTGCAAGAACAATATCGTGAAAGAGGTTTCTAAAGGTTTAATGAATTAATGAGTGTATTGCTTGTTGCAGAACAAAATAGTGATCTTTTGTTGAAAAATCATAATCTTAGACCAACAGGGTCTTTGGCCACTCATCATGAGGCAAATGCAACAAGTTCTTATCCACCCAAGGAAAATGCTACACAATGAGGTGGACGTGGAAATTACAATGGTCGTGGTAGAGGCCATGGAAATTATCGCAGACGAGTCCGAGGACGTGGTAGAAATAATTTTCAAAGAAACAATAATTTCAAAAATTCTGAAAAACAGAAGGGTCAGTCATCTGGAAGCCACAAACAAACTCCTTTAAAAGGAAAAGACACATGTTACAGATGTGGCATGACAGGGCATTGGGGACGTACCTGTCGTACGACCAAACATTTGGTAGACCTTTACCAGGCTTCTGTAAAAGGCAAAGAGAAAAATGCAGAAGCAACTTTTGTTAATGAAGAAAATGCTCCATGTCCTACCCTTGACGTGTCCGATTTCTTCATGGACAATGCTGAAATTGGAAATGATTTCATATTTGGAGAAAATAACAATAATTAAATAACCCATCTACTAGTGTAATATATACTATGTTTTAATGTATTTTATGTTATGTACTGTATTTTAAATGTCTAGTCATGTATTTTTAATTTCTATCATCAATAAAAGTTTGTATGATATTATTCTAAACTAATCTCATATTTATTTTATGAAGATATGGATATGCCTGAAGTTGGTTCCGAATATCAGTGCTTTTTGGATAGTGGAACAACACACACTATCTTAAAGGATAGAAAATATTTTTCACAACTAAAGTTGTTTCAGACAAATGTAAACACTATTTCCAGGTCAACAAAATTAATTGAAGGAAAGGCTTGTATAATGCTTCCAAATGGAACAAAATTGATAATCAATAATGCTTTATACTCGAGTAAATCTCGAGGAAATCTCATAAGCTTTAAAGATGTACGCCAAAATGGCTATCATTTAGAAACAATGACAACAGGTCAAAAGGAGTATTTATGCCTGACGGCAGGAAAATATGGCAAGAAACACATTTATGAGAAATTGCAAGCATATTCTTCGGGGTTATATCGTATAAACATACGACCCGTGGAAATCAATATGGTATTTAATCAGAAGTTAGATGACAAACATTTGATTATTTTATGGAATGATCGTATGGGACATCCAACAACTTGGATAATGCAAAGAATAATAGCGAATTCAGTTGGACATTTAATAAGAAATGTTAAAATTCCTCGATCAAATGAATTAACATGCTCTGCATGTTCACTCGACAAATTGATAATAAGGCCATCTATGAACAAAATTGCTACTGAATCCCTAAAATTCTTGGAAAGAATTCAGGGAGATATTTGTGGGCCAATTAATCCGGCATGTGGACCATATATATATTTCATGTGGACCAGGCTTCTACAGGATGGTCACATGTCAGTCTGCTTTCAAATACGTAGATGTTGCGTTTGCAAAATTACTTGCCCAAATTATCAAATTAAGAGCATAATTCCCAGATCATACAATAAAGAAAATAAGACTCGACAATGCTAGGGAATTTACATCCCAAACATTTGATGATTATTGTATGTCAATCGGAATTAATGTTGAACACCTAGTAGCTCATGTTCATGCACAAAATGGTCTAGCTGAATAACTAATTAAGAGATTACAATTGATTGCAAGACCATTATTAATGAGTTCAAAATTGCCATCATCTACTTGGGGACATGCTATAATACATGCAACAACGTTAATTAGATTAAGACCTACAGCTTATCATAAATTCTCACCACTACAACTTGTTTGTGGTCGAGAACCAAGTATCTCACATCTAAAAATCTTTGGTTGTGCTGTATATGTTCCCATTGCTCCACCCCAACGAACAAAAATGGGTCACAAAGAAGGCTGGGAATTTATGTCGGGTTTGAATCCCCCTTTATAATTAAATTTCTTGAACCATTGACTGGTGACTTATTTACGGCTAGATTTGCCGACTATCACTTTAATGAAGCAATATTCCCAGCCTTAGGGGGAGAGAAAGTGGACCCACGCAAGAAAGAAATAGAACTTATTTGGAATGCAACACAACTGTTGATGTTAGACCCACGAACAAATATGTGTGAACAAGAAGTTAAGAGAATTGTTCATTTACAAAGTTTTTCAAATCAATTGCCTAATGCATTTGTAGACACAAAGAAGGTGACAAAATCACATATACCAGCATAAAATGCCCCTGCACGTATTGAAATCCCAACTGATAATAAGGCCATTGAGAATGAATCTCAAGCACGCAGAAAGCGTGGGAGACCACTTGGTTCAAAAGATTCTAAACCAAGGAAATTAAAAAGATTGGATGAATAGAAAATGAGACTAATGATGTTCACCCATCAGAAGGTCAAGAAAGATTAAATGTGGATGAAAGTAAAGAAAATGATGATAATCCAAAAGGGGACGAACAAGAAGACAACCCTACGGGGAATGAACAAGATGTTCAAAACATTGATAACAATGAATTACGTCTCTACCAAGACTCAGTGGAATAGGAAAGATGTTATCGTGGATGAATTATTTGCAAATTCCATCGCAATCGACATTGTGTCTGATGAAAATGATGTTGAACCAAGAACAATGGAAGAATGTCAACACAGGAGTGATTGGCCAAAGTGGAAGGAGGTAATGCTGGCTAAGTTGAAGTCACTTGAAAAACGAGAAGTTTTCGGAAAAATAACTCTTACACCAGCAGGTGTAAAACCCGTTGGATACAAATGGGTATATGTGAGGAAACGTAATGAGAAAAATGAGATAGTTAGATACAAGGAAAGACTTGTAGCCCAAGGATTTTCTCAAATTCCAGGGATTGATTATGAAGAAACATATCTCCAGTAGTTGATGCAACTATATTAAGATTTCTGGTAAGTTTGACAGTCATAAAAGGACTCCAAATGCGGTTAGTGGATGTAGTGACTGCGTATTTGTATGGGTCACTCGATACAGACATTTACATGAAAGTCGCCGAAGGACTAAAACTACCAGAAAACCACAAGCCTAAACAATTACTTTCCATAAAACTAAAAAGGTCACTTTATGGATTGAAACAATCTGGAAGGATGTGGTATAATCATCTCAGTGAATACCTTATGAGAAAAGGGTTCAAGAACAAACAAATTAGTCCCTGTGTTTTCATAAAGCGATCATAATCAGGATTTGCTATTATTACAGTTTATGTTGATGATTTAAATATCATTGGAACCCCAAATGAACTTGAGAAAATTGCAAAATACTTGATGAAAGAATTTGAGATGAAAGACCTTGGAAAAACTAAATTTTGTCTTGGATTGCAAATTGAGCACTTTAGTCATGGTATTTTTGTCCATTAATCAAACTACACAGAAAGAGTTTTGAAAATATTCTTCATGGACAAAGCAACTCCAATCAACTTCCCAATGGTTGTTCGTTCTTTGAGTATGAAAAACGACCCATTCAGACCACGAGAAGAAAATGAAAAAATTCTGGGTCCAAAAGTAATCATACTTAAGTGCAATTGGAGCCTTAATGTACTTAGCTAACAACACTAGACTCGACATAGCTTTCTCTGTGAACTTGTTAGCCAAGCACAGCAATGCACCAACATAGAGGCATTGGAAGAGAGTCTGACACTTACTCCGGAACGTACGAGAGACACAAGACCTTGGTTTATATTATCAACCGAAACAAGATGCTGCCCTCATTGGGTATGTCGACGCTGGATATTTATCGCATTCTCAAAATGCCAAGTCACAAAATGGATATCTGTTCACTTATGGCGGCACTGCAATATCATGGAAATCAACAAAGCAGAAGTTGACTGCGACATCCTTAAATCATGCAGAGTTGATAGCCCTTCATGAAGCAGGACGAGAATATGTATGGCTGAGGTCGATGATTAGTAATATCAAAGAAGAGTGTGGAATGTAAGCAATAACAGAAAATCCAACCACCATCTTTGAAGACAATATAACATGCATTTCTCAAGTAACTGAAGGATATATTAAGGGAGATAATACAAAAAATATATCCCTAAAACTATTCTTCACACATGATCTACAAAAGGATGAGGAAATAGATATCCAGCAAATTCAGTCTTGTGACAACCTGCTCGACCTGTTCACCAAATCACTTCCTTCTAAGAAATTTGAGCAATTAGTTCACAAAATTGGAATGCGACGTCTTCGTGAACTATGCTAAAATCAGGGGGAGTATTATATGCACTGCACTTTGTTTCCCTTCGATCAGGTTTTTATCCCACTGGGTGGGTTTTCCCTGACAAGGTTTTTAACGAGGCAGTATATCAAAGCGTATAATACTTTTAGCTATGGTTTTACCCCATAAGGTTTTACCTAGCAAGTTTCACGAGACAACCCATACTCCATTTCATGTGAACGTTCAAGGGGGAGTGTTGAAGATAAAATATAGAGTGAAGTTCACATGAACTTCTCTAGTACAATAGTTGGTAGCAAACTTATTATAATAATTGTATAATATTACAATTGTGCAAATAATTGTATGACAATATTTTGCCTATTAATAAGTTCACCATTGTGAACTATGTAGAAGGCAATGAAAATTAACCGTAGCAATATTTCTCTACTTGTTCACTCCTCTATTGTCAATATCATTCTATAGTTAGAAAGTCACCTTTTAACAATTACACATTGTTGTACTCTTATGTATATTATTGTACTAAGCAATACCATATGTGAGCTACATTTTTTGTATTTTCCTCAGCATTCCCCTTGAATGTCACATGAAATGGAATACGGGTTGCCTATTAAAAATCTTGTTGGGCAAAATCCTATGGGATAAAGATTATAGCTAGGAAAAAAATAAAAGTACAACAATATTATATTACATGCTTTGGTATACTGCTACATTTATAACCTTAAAACCTGATCGGAGGAAAAAAGATTATAGTGGATATAGTACTCCTCCCAATTTCAACATAGTTCACGAAGATGTCGCACTCCGATTTTGTGAACTAATTGTTCAAATTTCTTCGATCGAAGGGATTTGGTGAACAGATCAGCGAGATTCTCACAAGATTGCATTTGCTAGAAATTTATTTTCTCTTTCTTTTGTAGACCATAAGATCTCGAATCAATATTGCATAACTCATACAATTAAACCTGCGCAAATCTAATTGCATAGCATTATAACAATCAGTAGGAAATTAACCTAAAACACTAACAATCAATAATAATAATAATAATTCATCCCTTCATATTAATTATGGATCCCCAAAAACCCTAGAAATAAATTAGCCATGCATAAGTAAATCTAAACTAATCAAAGCAATTAAAATAAGCATATTTAAAGTAATAATAATAAAACTAATATGAAAGAAACAAAAGCAATAATAATTAAGTTTCAAAAAAAGCATTCAACGAAAATAAGAATGTAATAATCTTAATTCCAAGCACACAACTTCAAAACTAATAATCAAAGCTTAAATAAGAAAGAAAGAAAAGAAAGCTACGTGAACTAATCCTAAAGTCAACTATAAC